TGATGTTGCTACCATGGTAACCAGCGTCACCTTGGAGAGGAACAGAACAGAACCGCTCTGGGGAAAGACCCAATACTGGCACACACACACACACACACACACACACACACACCCTGAGCTTGTGTGTAACACAACAGGGCAACAGTTGGACCCAAAACACTGAAGGAACAATGGAAGAAATTCGCCGCTGCATCGCTCACACGCTCCTCGAAACGTTTCGGAGACAGCTGACGTGACTGGAAACGCCGCGTCCCGCTCCGCCAAATGTCAACTCTTTGTAATCTCCTCTCAGAGGAGGCTCATTTTTCCAGACTCCACATTTGGAAAATNACACACACACACACACACACACACACACACAAACTCATCAAACAATCACAAATTCATTCATGTTTAATCAGCACAGCCCTATTTTTGGAAGTCAAGTCCTGGTTGAACATGAGAATTTGCAGGTTTTCATCTACAGTCGGTTCAGTGTAGTGTGAACGATGCCCCGCTGGCCAGTAATGTTTAATTGATGTCTGAGCCGGGGCAACGTCTAGTAGATGCCCCGCTTTCCAAGCTTTTGTGCGCTGTGCAAAAACGCAAACCTCGATATCAACCATTCTGCGCTGCTCCAGTTTCATATGACTCACATCTACTTTCACATTTGCATTCGGGGCAAGTAGATTAAAGAAAGCATCCCATATCATTGAGCTGGACTGTGAGCGCGCTGCAGTGCATGCCCTTGAAAAACCTCTATATGCACATACAGTATGCCATACTGTATGCATTCTCTCAACCTGAATATGCATCATGCATATCCCCTGCTGTGGCGATGAAGAGGAGCTCCCATCCCCCCACGTATCTGAATCTGTTCCGTGCAAATGAAAGATTCCCTCATTCTGCAGCGTTACCTTTCATTATATTCATTTTAAGGGCGTATAATTAGATGATTTGTTGTATGTGCTTTGCCTTTTAGTAACTAAGCCTCAAGTGTTGCTCTCTTCCCTTCCCTGATAATAGAGACAAAGATGAGTCTTAGGTTAAAACTATTTTTATCCACGCGCTCACACATAATGTATATATGTATGCACTGTGAAGAAGTGAGGCTATTAGTTGATTATTCATTTTGGTTCAGAATAAAAAAATCTTTTCAAACATAAACCTGTCCCAGGCTCAAGCTGACATCTTCAAATGTTCTTATTTTACTGGACTAATGATGTGAAATTTAGACATAATATTGTGTTTTTATGATAGGAAAACAAAAAAAAATGCAAATCTTCACATATAAGAAGCATCCTATGAATATTTGACATTTTCCCTTGATATTTTCCTCTTAATTGATTATCAAAATTGTCTCTTAATCAATTCATACTTTCAGAAATATCATTTAATGCCTTTGTTTGGATTTTCTTGCTCAGCATGAACCTTCTACCTTGACTAAGGTGAATGTCATAAATGCCCATCTGAGCCGAGTGTGGTATGTTGCAGTAATTTCAAGGTGCTATAACAGAGCTGACAAGGAAATTCACTGCAGATGCCATTTTGCTATTTATAGCACATGTGCCAGAGAAACGTGCCAACAGATGCGACTGGGTGTAGCAAGGACATATAGCGAGAATGGAGGATGAAGATAGTGATGGTTCAGAACAGGCCTGAAATATATATGGCTGCTAACAGGCTTGACGAGATATGGAATGGTGGGACGAACACAAAACATGACGACAGTTAGCAGCCATGCATGCAGCTCTGGGCGACTGCAGATGTGTTATTTGATGATGTGATGTTCAAACATCAAGACATTTGGCTCATGAATGTGACCGTCATGTCAGCTCTGAAGGAAAGGTCAGGGGATTAGGGCAGATATTAAAGTTTCAATTCAGACCATGAATATTAATACATTCAATGGGTGATGAGATATTTCATTTTGGAACTCAGTGGTTGACCGGAGGACCAACATGGCTAATCCTGGAGCCGTGTTGCTGCTAGCATGGCTAAATCCTGCAAGGTCCCCGAGGGTACAATCACAATGTATGGTGAAAATTTAGATTTTTTTTAAATGGGATCAATTTTTGCACTCATGAAAACAGGATGTTGGACTTTAACGTACTGTGCCTTATGCAGTGTCAAAAGATCTTAAGGTAAGATAAGTTCGGGAATAAGTGATGCAGATGATCGACCAGGCATCTGTCAGTTTCCTATGGGAGTGTAGACAGATCATCAATGTGCTTCGCCTTTAGATTACAATAGAGTGGTCAGGTTTTTATCTTGGACCAATAAAGTGCATGTGCTTTCAGGAAGGGGAATCACCTCACCTTTTAATTTGATTCCAGGATTCTCTGGTCAATAACGTGTTGGTTCTACCTGCACAGACGCATCGATCATTTCAAATGCGATTACCAAAAGGTCAGTATCTGTTCACCATGTGCTTATAGGAATATATTATGATATTCATTCCATTAAGAGTTTTCTTTTTTGAATGAGTTTCTTTTTCAATCCTTTCAAAGTCCTGATATTGTGAAGCTGATGTAACAAAAGTATTTGTTGCTATTTGTGCTTGTAAAATTACGTCATTTTATCATTTAATATTGTTCTTGAAAGATTGCTTTATATATCACAAATGTTTTGAAGAAGAACAAATCTTTTTACAGATAATAATCATAATAAGTTACATTTTTGAGCTGAGAAGTTTCACCAGGCAGAGATCATATGTAATAAGAGATGACTATGACTTGCAGCCGGACGTTCTGCTAATGCACAGATCATATGCTTCAGAGCTCAGGCTGAGAGTATATGTTTCCATATACACTCAGAAAACATGAGCGTGTGGTGTCTGAATGTGTCTTTGACTGCACCAACTTTTCATTCGATTTTCCACTGTTTGAAAGTTTTGAAGACATATTCTCTCTGAACTTCTTCTGTTCTTATTTTACCCCGGCCACCTTTCATCTCTGCTTCATTCGTCTCTTGCACCAATTCTCCTCTTCTTTTGGACATATGCAGAATATGAGTGCAATTTGCAAAGACTGTGAAGTGGCTAATGAATGGAGGAGATGCTCTAGTTAACAAAGAAATGTCTCAAGTAAAATGAGAAGGATGTGCTTTGGAGGAGGAGGAGGATGATTGGAAAAAAGAGGCGAAAGGAGCCTTGGAGAGGAGATGGAGGAGAGGAGAGACAGAAATGAGGGGGGAGGCAGGGGGAGGTCAACAGAAGGAGAGGCAGATGCTCGTGCCTCGGATGCCTGTGTGCGAATAATTATCCTGATGAGATTCACCAGGAGCGGTACAAAATCTCTGTGTTGTGAGTTATTCCCGACGTCACAGAAAGAAAAGCCGGACAAAGGGTGATTAAGTTTTATATAAATATGCAGGAGTAGGGTGGGTCTATATGTGGTGGGGTCAGGGTGCCGTTACCTGGCATTTCTCCTTCCTCCGTCTCTGGTTCTCCTGCCTCGTCATGCACGACGTGAGAAAGTGGAGCCACCCTCTCATTTTTTAAAGATGCATGAAGCAGCAGCTACAGAGAGTCAAGATGAGACTGTAGAAGAGAAAGAAAGAAGCCTTGGCTCCTTGTAAACCTTCAGTTTCTGTCTGCTGAGGGGAAAAAAGACAAGAGGTGGGATTCAGCTTTTGCTCTGACGCTGTGTGCTTCCTACTGGATTATATTTAGATGCCAGCTCAGGTTGTGTTAGTGATCTTTTTCTCACACTCTCCCTGTTGGGTGATATTAGGGCCACTGTGTTCACACTTATATCAGTAGATGTCCCCTTTTTGAGATTCTGCAATGCACAGTTAGATGGCTGCACATCAAAAACAGAATCAGTACCCGTCTCTTTGTTTGTGCTCTGTTGAAAGAGCTTGATCTCAGTCTCTCTGCAATCCACTGCATTTTCTGTGATTCAAAGGCAACACAGGTGCGTGCAGGCAACCACCTGTCTCCATTAGCTGTCTATTCACACAACGCAGACACACACAGATAAGCCACATTCATACACCCGTCTTTTTCATCATCTTCATGATGCATGTGTGCTTTAAAACAAGGCGTATTTTTGTAAAAGCCTGCTCGTGACCCTTATCCAGAAGAATATTTAACAATCAATAATAATTGATCTATAAATAAAATGGCTGCCGTCAGTCAGATAACATCACATCATGAACTCTCACGTGCATGACGTGCCCTTGGATGCACAGTGGGAGAAGGGGAAGTACATGGTAAGTTCACCTCTGGAGATATTCTGTCGAACAAATATGATGTGGTTTTTTGTCAGATTCCATGTTTTATTCTGTTTTAATTCAAGTTGCTATAATTCAATATATGAACAACGTCTCGGTGATGAGCAAAAAGGACCATCCCTCCCTTCAGACCATCTACAAAGGTTCTGAGTTCAGACACTCAGATCCTTAATGACCCGTCACACATACTGTTCTCTGAATTTGACCGATTACCTTCAGGAAGACATTACAGAGCCTATAAGTGTAAAACCAACCTCCTCAAGCTGTCACTCATCACCGTCTACCACACTACTCAATAAGGAAACACCTTGATTCTGCCATGTATCTCAATGACCTTTACACTTTGGTTTTAGGTTCTAATGACAGTTTTTGTCTTTTTATATTTTATTCCTTATATTGTTTAAGTGTTTTATTATTTGAATGGATTTTAGGGCAGGTGTCAATATTTAACTCACTTTTATTCTGCATCATATATTCTGGGTCTTACATGATATGTCCTTGCATATATCGTTTCTTGTTGCAATATGTTCTGTTCTGCAGTGGCTGTAGCACTTTGGCCGAAGGACATTTTTTCCCATGGATAAAGTATATTTGATTTGATTTGATATAACTTTGAACACCTGCCCCTCTGAAGTTCTCTCTCTCTTGAAATGTCAGAGGCGCATTACTTGATAAAGGCCACATGTAAAGAACTGCAAATTTAAATCCCCTCCTTTCCACAAGGAGGCACCGAGTGGTGAATACTGCTAACACCTCCTACTACCTTATAGGCCGAGATCAGGCCTTTTGCCTCTTTGTTTCCTCACCTGTGCACCTGCACTGAGTGTTTGTTGGTGTCTGCCTGTGTCTTTTGACCACTCTCCTTCCAACCTTTACATTTGCAGGTCAGTAAAATGTGATTTCATGTTCATTTCAACTGTGTCTTTTTACAGGAATGTGTTTTAAAATGATCATGATTCATGATCTATTCATTGAAAATCCATCTGAAAATGTTTTGTGTTCAAAGTTTTCTACACTAGTCTCATTGATAAAGTATTATAGGTTTGCATCATCACGTTGTAATAATTGTTAAGTGCAATGTCTCATAATATTATTTGTAATAATAGCCAGGGTCTCCTCTTCCTTCTCTCTTTCTCTTTTCTTATCTGTCTCTGTCTCTCTCTGTGTGTGTCTCTCTCTCTCTCTCTCTCTCTCTCTCTCTCTCTCTCTCTCTCTCTGTCTGTCTCTCTCTCTCTCTCTGTCTCTCTCTCTCTCTCTCTCTCATTTTCTCTCTTTCTCTCTCTCTCTGATGCTTCTGCTGATTTGTAGGTCATGTGTGAGCATCACAAATACACTGAGAGAGTGACTGAGCAGAGGACTTTTACCCTCTAGTGGTGAGCCTGGGGAAAGGCTTGTCAAACTCAGTTTGGAGAAGAAAAATATGAACGTCCAATTATCCCTGTTCAGTTGTGCATGGAGGTAGTGACCCAGTTGGAAATCAGTTTCAGATTTTCCAGATTTTGTACTTTATTTATTCAGCAGATAGCCTCACACAGACAAACTGGCATATTCCCACTCCACTAAGTTTTCTTTTTCGGATGTCTAATGTCTGACTGATGTCACAAACAGCCCGGCAGAATAAAACGAGGAGACTGAATCAGACGCAGCATGTGGCATTACTGAGATGTTAGTGAGTGAGACATTCTTTATGGTAAATGTTTTAAGATGTCCACCATCCTCAAAATTTGTGCAACATTTTTCAAAAATGCATGACCCCTGGGTGCAAGTTACTTGTGCCATAAATTATTGATCATTGTAATTTAAATTCAACTGGGGCGGAAATACACACTGTCTTGCCCATTGCTGCATTTCAGTATTAATGATATCCATCTATATACATGATGCTTTGCAAACAAAAAAACCAAGACCAAAAAGGTCAATGAATAAAAGCAAAGCCATTAGAAAACATCAATGAAACATCGCTCTGTAAATATGTAATGGGAGTCCAACTATTCCATCATTAAAAGAACATTTTAAGAAGAAAAAACATGAGGATGATGAGAACTTGTGTTCTTATGAAGAAAATTTTTTATCCTCCTGATTTAATCGCCTGCAAGAGGAGCCGAAGGCAGCATAACCAGTATACACTTCTAAAAGAGATTTTCAAAACCTTAAGATAGGTGGGTGGCTGTGGCTCTGAAACCAGAGCGGGTCGTCCACTGTAACTAGAAGGTCAGTGATTCAATCCCTGGCTCCTCCATGGCAACGCTAGGCAAGAGACCAAACCCCAAATTTCTGACAGCTGTGCCGGCACTGTGTGATAGAAAGAAAGACAATGTTGAATGTGATTTCTATCGTAAAACACTTTGAGTGGTCAGTGAGACCAGGAAAGAATAATATGAACAGAGTCCATTTAGCTTAGCATTCTTTCAATTCATTGCATTTGAATCCATCTTTATTTTGAATCTTTTTAAGTTTTATTTTATTGCTTATTTTATTTCGGTATTATTAGTGTTGCATTTTTTGATGTATTACTGTAAGAAGCACCTTGTATTGCAACTTTATGCAAAACGCGCTATTTAGATAAAGTGTGATTTACTTCGCTTTCAGATGCAAATGCTGCTAATGTTGATAAATTATCAGCTGTTCTATCACAAAAAATACGCACAACACACGTGTCTATGTACTATCAGTTGGAAAAATCCTTGTGAAGCACAGAAACAATCTAATTGGTTGAATTTAAAATGTTCATATATTTAACTACTAATTACCACAAATACATCAGTGTTGTCCCTGACAGTGCATAGTAGTGTTTTTATTTCTCACACATGCAACACAATCACACTTCTCACACACACATACGCACAATGGCATATGTTTAGAAAAACTGTCAACCGGCTCAATATTTCACGGTTTTCTCACTTGTCCATATTCCAACACTGAAGCTGTTACGATGTATTTGGAAAAGGCTGATCCCCCTGAGAAGGAAAAAGAAAAAATATTGAATTGAGCTGCGGTGTTTGTAACGCATGCCACCACTGCTTCATTATTTCCCATTAAAAAATAAACAGGGAAATCTCTCTGAGCCTGTGAGCGAGTGTGTGGGTGTGAAAAAGGGAGGCGAGAGAAAGATATGTCAAGGGACGGAAAGAAATAGAGACAAAGAGAGGGGAGCCAGGGAGGGAAAAGGTAGTATTTAAAATGAAGATGACACGTGGGAGAGTTTCCATTGTGGGCTCTCTGGGGATGGGAGTGACTTAACATTTTACAGCCTCATGTGAGGCGCAGACACACTGAGACATATGCCCCCCCCCACACACACACACACACACACGCACACACAGACACTCATACTCATAAGACAGCTCCATTTGGTTCAGGAAACAGATCAGAGACACTGTTCAGAGACAGATCTGAAGGCTTTCGTTTGAGGTGAAGGGAAGTGAAATAGAGCTCAGTGTTGAGTTTCACAATAATCAGGGGAACGTTTCTCTTCTGCAAATAATGACACACGGTGGCTGAGGTGTGTGTGAGAGAGAAAGAGAGAGGTTTAATTTCAACAACTGCATACTCATATCATCATGGGAGCGTTCCTTTATATGGTTTTTGTGTTTATATTGGAGTGTGAGTGTGTGTGTGTG